GGAATATAAAGCACTGAGTTCATGTAAGCATGTTTTTGGCTTGAGTCAGGGCTATTAAATATGGCTTACAAATTTCAGAATTAATATCAGAACTTGTCTTTCAAACATAAATTAGGCATACTGGACCCTGATTTATGTACCTCCTTAACTTCATGTTAACCTCATCTGATTTATGAACCTCCTCAACTTCATCAGCTTTCTTCTAAATGTAACTTGTTATTTTATTGTACTTCTGTATCTCCATTTCCTTACATCAAATGTCAAATTTTCCAGCAAACTCAGAACTGACCCCTCTTTGCTTTGACTGAAGTAAATTATGAAACTTTTGTTGACTTTATGAAAAGGATTTTATAATGTCATTGCCTGTGAAAGTGGGAGGCTGAACTCTGTGCCCCTAGGAAATCTGTTCCAGTCTTGTGATCCTATGACTTGACTGGGAACAGAGTAAGGCCACTGTGAGTCCTTTTCCAAATCCAGTCTTAAACCTTGCCTACCCAAACAAGAACATCTGGAATAAAGAAGCTCTCTGTATGGGACATCTATAATTTTGCAATAAAAGTTACAGGGCTGGCTGGATTCAGAGTGCTGTAATTATCCAATCAAAGCATTTGCCAAAACGTGGTTTGGAAGGTCAGAGCTTAACGTATATATAAACCAGAAACGTCTTCCAGCCCATCAGGTGCACTATGCGTTTTCAGTAAAGCAGTGCCAGTTTGTAGCTGTGTGCCTTGAGAGCAGTTTCTAGACGAGGGAAGTTTAGATCAGGCATGGAAAATTCTGTTTTGCCTGTCTAATGAAGTGGGCGTGCATGGCTGCAGGCATTTCTGGATCCACTGCCAGGAGAAGGGAAGAAGGAAACATCTAATAGCCAAAATCTCTTTCTCAGCTAACTGTTGGCTGGCAGTGTCCACAGTGGTGCCATGAATAGCTCTGGGTTAAAGGGCTTTCCTCTGTCATTAAAATAAGCATTAGTGCTTCTGCATTTATCTGCATCTGGGGTCAGTTGGGCAGAAAATTGGAAAGGGACAACACTGGAAGTCTCAGTATATAAATCTGATCTGTGATTATGAATGCTTCATCCAGGACTGAGGATGTAGAAAACCATCACAAACTTCAAACCAATCCAAAAAAACCCCATGTGGGTAGTGGGAGGTTGCAAGGATCACTTCTATGAGATTTGAGGCATAAGCAAAGAATAAGCAAAATAAAATGTGTTTAAGGTATTGAATGTATGATCTATGGATATTTATGAATGTATGATCTATGGATGTTTATGATGTCATGGTGAGTATGTAACTTGGGGGAAGCTGGCTAAGGGTTTAGACCATGGCTCAGGAACTAGCTGGGCATCAGTGGTCTGTGGGTGAGCAATTGTGCTGTGTGTCACTTGTTTTGTATATTCTTCTTATCATTATCATCATCTTATTTTTCTGTCATATTTGACTGTCTTTATCTCAACTCATGATTTTTACTTTTTTAAAACTTTTTTTTACCTTTTTTTATACTTTTAAAAATCTTTTTAAACTTCTTTTTTTTTCTTTCTTTCCTAATTCTCTCCCTCATCTCACTGGGTGGAAGACTTGAGTGAACGGCGGTGTGGTTGTTTTAGCTGCCTGCTGGGTTGAACCATGCCAACCTAATAATGGCAGTATGCTTAATTTGAGTACCTTCAAAAGATTTTAGTAATGATAAACTAGTAAACCTCAGGGAAATAGATACAGGAAGCCAAATTCAAGTGTCGAAGGTGTAAATCCAAGGAATTTATTTTGATTTTGTGGAATTGTTTTGAATTTCTTTTCCAAGAGCATAGAATTTATCTTAGTATGAATGCTTCTGAATGTTTGACCTGTGGGCAAATGAAGGCATATGAGGATTACGAGAGTTACCCGAGGTCACTCGATGAGTTGGGGAAGCTATGGGAAGAGAGTGAGTCTGGTGAAATTATCTTCCAAAACCACTGATGCACCCAGACTTGTTGACTTACAGTGGAATCCAGACAAGACTCTTTTTTGAAAGAACCACAGCCAGTAATTTGAAGCTTTGTATCTGAACCTAGAGAAATTACTTGTTCCCGTAGTTAAGACCTCAGTTACTAATACTGCACACAGTGCAAGATTGCAACATTGCTCTTATGTAAAAACACAGTTTAAGTCATATTGATAAAAAAATTAATATTTTCTTGTTAATGTTTTCAGAAAAAAAAAACCCAACCAAACCACAAACCAAAAAAAAAGAAATAATTGAAAACACAAATTGACAAGATATAATCTGGAAAAGTATGACCTGGGGGATCTAGCAGTACAGACAGATAATCTCTGGAGAGGATGTAGTGGTTAATTCTCCATCACTTAAAAATAGAAGTCAACTCTGTATCTTTCAAAATAAATGCCACAAACTGTCACCCTAGATGTAGAAGCTGAAATTTTCTAACATGGGTCATGCAACAGGTCATATTAGACGGTTTTAAAATAGAGAAACCATTGATAATATGAAATGTAGTAATTTCCACATGACTAAAATCACTGTGTTCCTCTAAAATAATTGACTAGTTAGTGCTTAAGAGGGAAGGAAAAAATCAAGTGCATCAGGTCTGTTGCACAAGTCAAGCTGTGGTTGCAAGGTCATTGCTCTCTTACTAGCTCAGACTCCCTCTGAATATAGCGCTGATGATGACTTTGCTACTCCGCGATGTCAAGTGGTCTTTGACATATGGCAGTGCAATACCAAATTAACCTTCATTTCTACTTAGCTGGAGACTTTCCGCCTCTATCTCTTGGAAAAGTTGCCCCCAAATATAACAGGAATAGAATGATTTTGAAGTGGTTGACATGGAACCCAGTGCTGCTTTCTTGCCTGTAGTTCACAGGCATGAACTAAGGCTGGGCTGTTTGGGAAGGTCTGTGGGGTGCAGCAGGTTGGTTCATCACTGCATCAGACGTTTTCTTCAGCAAGGGTGAGAGCAAAGGAGCTAACACTAAGGTAACAGCCTTGGCAATGGTGGTAGCACGTCAGTTTTTTTCAGCTTGTTCTCTGAGAGATAACCCATGCTTGAGGTTTACACTTCCTTGGGAAGGATTTACCTTGCAAAAGCAAAGACTTTCTGCATCAACATAGAGCCCCGAGTTGCGCCAGTTGCCTTGTGTTTTAATTAATTATTTGGAATAAAATAATTTTGAAATCTAATTTAGTCATTGCTATTCCATGCCTATATTTGCTCAAGTAGCAAGGCAAACAGGCTAGTCCGTGGTCTGTTTTGGGTCTTGGGTTCTCACCGACCGGACAAGTATGTCAACACCAGGATTTCCAAGTTGCAGGGAAGGCATGCCACAGCCCTGATTGTATGAACCCTAGACCTCAGCTTCGGATTTGATGTTGGGTGGTATGGTCACAGCTGTCTTCCTGTGAGGAGGAGAAAGAAGGAAACTTTGGCCATCTTTGCAAGTCACCCATATCTCAGAGGACTTAAAGAAATCTTTAATAAAAGTCACAACTTTTGCATCTGTGTGGTAAATGAACTCAAGCAACAGGGCAAGGTCTGTTCACCAGGAATAGCAGGACAACAGCTGTCTCAGCTCTGTCCTCACCCTGCAATTACATGGAGAGGGTAACACCAACCTCCTGTTTAGGACTTGGTGGCCACAGCAGGGCCCTTTTACTTTTAAAACATTGAACTGTTGAAAGGAACTAAAATAATTAAAGGCCCATTCTTTCCCAAGCCTTCTTTTTTTTTATTTTGGTGTGCAAAATTGGGAGCCTGCAGATATTTTTGTCTGTTTGTGTATGAGAAAAGAATGTTTGTGGCATTTTTTAAATCCACTGTGAGACAGAAGAATAACTTTTGATGAATACTAGGGTCAGTATGTATGTGTGTGCTCACACATGTATATGCATGTGTACATGTATATATGTGAATATACATGTTTGTATATATGTATATACACGTGTATATATACATATTTGTGTATATGTGTATATATACATATGAAATAGAATTAAATCTTAATTATGTAGGAGTTACATGACATTAGAACAGTTCATAGCATTTAATGCAATTCTGTCTAGGAAATCAAATTAAAATGATTACAGTAATCCTTGTGACCCTAAAAAAAAAAAAGGTCTATAAATCTGTGAAAATTGCATGTGCTTCTGTGGGAGTTCAACTTTTAAGGGAAGTGAGGACAAAATATAGCATTTGCAAAAACAGTTGTCTCATTTTTGCTTAGTCTATAAGGTCGGGGCTTGCCCTCTGTTTGTAGATGTATGTAGGCAGGATAGACATCTCCATTTCGGCTACTCACATGAGATTCCCTATACGGACAACGTGGACATCTGGCTCATGTTATCAGTGGATTCCTGGGGGTGATTTGTCTTATCCTAAAGCAGACATGTAAAGCAGGATGGAGATGTTGTATAGTAAAACTGACTGTCCCTCCTGATAGTACAGAGTCTAGTGTAATTGACTCAGATGTAGACATCTACTTTGCAGGTGACTGAGATGGAGCCTATCTTAGGAAACCAGCTCCCATTTTAGATATAGATGTGGAAGTCTGCTGGAGGTTCTGGGAGTGCTCAGTCACATGCAGGATCCCCACTTGCTTTCCAAGGAGTTAGTGGCTGTACCTGCTCAGGAATTCATGTACAAGCATTATGACCCATGTCCTTTAATGTAATTAGGCCTGTTCAGAAACCTTTTCTTTAAATCAGTTACATGCAAACCTGGATGGAGTTGCTCCTGATTTACCTCTTTGTTAACTGAATACTTCTGTAAACCTAGTTGTACATGATCTCTGAAGATGGGACTGGACCCTTTAGTGAATCAGAGGCCTTTGAATATTATACTTCATTTATTCCTAGTTGATGCAAAGAAAGGTGAAAGTCTTTCATTTGGGTGAAAATCTTTCATAAAAGCACTCCCCAGTGCTTTTACTTCTATATTATTTTCCTCTGAAGTTTTTACTGATTCCTTTAGTTATATTATTTTTTTGTGGTTCATTTTACAGAGTATTCAGAGATATGGCAACTCTTAAATGTATCCTCTGTCCTCATGGATTCATCCATCTCAAACTTTGAAGTTGTGCAAGTTAGTAGAGAAATATCCAGGAACTTCTCCACTGCCAGAGACTTTTGTCTATCCGGTAAGAAATAGTTTTTCTTAGCTTTACAGAAAATACTGGCTTGTGAGCATGAAAAAACAACACCCTTCCCTCACACACAGATATACTGATTTGAGGTGTTTTTAAAGACTACCCCAATGTTTCTGAATTTGAGAGAAGGGACCTGAAGTAGTTTATCTAATGAAAGATACAATAGACAAAAAATGCCATACAGTAATTGCAGAATTTTGACCCCTCTTGGGCATAGAGATCTCTTGCTTCTCCAGGCATTGTACAACTTGGAGAATATTGCAGCGAATAATTAAAAGGATGATGTCACTCTTTTCTAAAGAATAGTTAAGGGAAGCTCATTGAGTAAGGCAGATGGTAGAACCACCTAGTATTTTCTAAAGTAACTCATAGCTTCGGTGCATGACAACAGGTTAACTGAGAGCTGGGATGAAGCAGGGCTTGGGCTGTACTGACAACAAAGGGAACGGCTTTAATCAATAGCCTGACTAGACAGCAGAGAGTGCTTTACCGTCACATGACTGGCAAATCCTCAAATGCTGCAGAATGGTAGAAATAAGGAAAAGTCAAGTTTTTGCCCCCACCTACTGCAGAAGATGGTCCTTGGAATGGTCCCATTTTCTGCAGTAGATGGTCTTCACCTTATGAAGGTGAGCAGTGTAATTTTTTCTCCTTTCTTTTCACATAACTGTTTGAAGGAGCCTTTCTAAAGTAAAATGTTGGATACCCACCTCTGCGTACAAACCGGGATGAGTGAGAGGGTCAGTTTTCTTATTCTGAAACCTACCCCTAGGGCTCCCTGAGGACTATTTGAATTCAGTTGAGGTCCTCAATATTTATTAGAAGATGTTTTTCTTCTCCTAAAACCTGTGATACCAGTTCTCTTGCTGTATTGCTCCATTTTAAAGCCAATATAACCTTTTCTCCTTTGGCTATTTTGGAGAATGTTCTGGGAATATGGGGACATTTATGTCCCATTATTCTGCTTGATAGCTACTTCATATCCTTGTTGCTTGACCTGTTGTAAAACCTTTCTTTTAAGCATCTTATAACAATGATGTCATACAAAATACTTCGAGAATACATTTTTATCTGCTTTTTTTCTTCACATTTCACCTCACAGCTTGTTCAAAGAATCAGTCATGTACAGTGGTTACACTGGAAATCCAGCCTTCAGCAATAAGATGCCTTTTCTACCCTGATACACAGATATGCACACATGGCCTGCAAGGGCACAGCTGCCGGGTTTTACTCAAAGAGCCAGCTACCTATATCTACAGGAGGCAAGGTAAGAGCAGGTTGAGGCTGTGGAGGAAAGAACTCAACTGTGGTGGCCTGTGCATGACTCTTGTGAACGGAGGAGTGAGGAAATCCCCAGCAGACATAAAGCAATATGGTTGTCTCCTAAACAGTTGTCCATTGCTGCTTCAGTGGAGTTACAGCCAAGCTGGATGGGAAAATGACCTCAAATACTTTTTATAAAAATGGAAAAAATCATAGTGTTATCATCTAATGGTGAAGCAGATATAATAAAGTAAGTCTGGTCTATGAAAGATGTTTTGGAAAGTGCAGAATGGTAAAAACAAACAAAAGACCAGTAATGAATGTCCAACTCCCGCATTTCATCTGCAGAAGATGTTTCTATATGTTCTTCCTTTTAAATTCTGAGAATAACACATGGAATGTTGAAAATCCACTGTCAGTTGAAAATCTTAAAGACTATGTCTGGACAAAACAAACAGCAACAAAAATCCAAACCTCTAAACCAAGATGAACTAATATTTCAAACAAGTGAAAATTATTTAAGAGAGAAATAGCAGTTGTGTAGACAGGTAAATTCTATTGTTTGGTTATGTAATTATTTGTAACTCTAAGTTTTGTTGTTTTTTTCCCTTGACTTTAAAAGACACTGCTTTCCTTTTGTGTAATACTGATTATTTCTTTTATTAGAAGTAATTAGAAACCAGGTAACAATAAGGGGGAAGGGAAGAAATATTTCCTTTTCTCTTCACTGTGATTTCTGTGAGGAATTGACAAATCAATGAGAACCTTCTAGGTTCAAACTTGAAGAGAGAAAAAGGGGTTTATCATTGTCAAGTGAACCAAAATCACAGACTGAGAGGTAAAAGCTAGACTTGTGTGTTTGTATATTTCTGTACAATTTTGGTTTTAGTCACGTGACTTAGAATTTGATTCCTGCTTATCAAATACTTTGTTTTAGGAGAGAAATAGTATGAGGTATCACTTAGCTCTGTTTTAAACTAAGGCATTATTGAAAAACCTCTTATTCGGATAGATAGACTATGATTTAGATAATCTTTATATAAAAAAGAAAAATTTGGATCAAACTATAACCCCATAATATTTCATAATTTTCTGCAAGCAAAAAATAAATTCAGATAGCAATTATGGTGGATCTAAAATGTAGATAATGGCATAAGTCCTGTGGAAGAAAATGGCAGTATTCACTAGAGACCGTAAGGCAAAAGATGGTGATGAAGGCCCTCTGGTATCCTAAAGTCCCTCATTCCCTTCTCTGGCATGTAGAAGGCACGCACGTGCCTGACTGACTGACTTAAAGCGAGTGCTTGCACAGGTGATTCCCACTTCAAGGCTGTAGGGAATTGGGACATGGGTTGTGCTCGGTGCCTTCTGTTGAAGCTCTTCCCCCTTGCATGGTCAAACAGCTACTGGAAAGGGGACTGAAGTACAAGTCTTTCCTGGAGAGAGCCCAAACCCATGAGTTGTGTGGTTCTTTCCTCTCTCTGACTCGCTAAAAACATTTAAAGGTGTAACAATGTGGTCTTTAGAGTTGGGGGAGAAGGGGAAGTCTGAAAATCTCTCTCCCTTTTTGTAGAAATGCTCAGGTTTATATTCCAATGCGATGTCTGATCTGGAACAAATGTTTGAGTAAGGGTCTGGAAAGTTAAATATCCACATGCAGTGCCTAACATGTAGCATAGCATGAAGTATTTTATACGGAGAGAATAACAGATTTATTTATGTTTCATTTAAATAAATGAATTAGGCACTTAATAGTTTAAAATTAAGGGAAATGGGATTAATTTTCATTTCTGAAATGGTAATAACTTGAAGAAGCAAATTATTTTTCCTTTGTTCCCCTCCAATAGATTTCTTCCTGCCCATTTCTGAAGCGGATTTAACCCCATCTGTGCACATCCCATCCCATGGAAATCTGATGGGCACATCCCAGGTGATCCACGTTGGCTCAGAGTGGAGAAACATCAGCCAGTTCCTGGGGATCCCGTATGCTGCACCTCCCCTTGCAGAGAGGCGCTTCAGTCCTCCGGAGCCGTTTGCTTGGGTGGAAACCTGGAATGCTACTGTAGCTCGGTAAGAAAACCCTTTGATCATCCACAGAAGCAGTTGTTCCATCCAGGTATACGAAAGTAGCTGGAGTGGTAATGATGATATTCATGTCCTTTCTTGCAAAAAAACCTATAGGGTACAGATAAATACAAGTTTGGGAATATAGCAAAAAGAATAATTTCTCCATCTATATGTTAATGCATGCAAGCACCTAAAGAAAAAAGGCAGATTCCAGTACATAGCCTTGAACCTATGCATAGCTCCCCACCAACTGTCTGCTGTCAATCTGTTTTCATTCTGAGTATTTATACAGTATGTATAATATTTATACAAATAGATTTTGCTCCTGCTGAGCCATATATTTGTAGAGTATTTAACCAAATGGAGGTGCTTTAACACTGATGTAACCAGAAGCTGTGGGCCTCATATAGAAATTCTCTGCCTAGTAGTGTCTAGATCAGGTTGAAGGACCCAGGTATCCTTTTCAGTCCAAAAACTATTAAAAGGCAAATACTTGCTAAATGGCTTGGACAGAATTACAGAAGTTATAAACATTTTAGGTAATGCCTTAAGAGGAAATGAGCTCCAGGAACTGTATTAGCAGATGGGCTAAATTTCTTTTTAAGTCTCTATGTCTAATGTTTCCCGTTGGCTGCGCCTGGCTCTCCAGGGCTGTACAGACATCACTGTTCGGTAAGTTTAGGCGGGAGGCACTCTGTGGACATAGCCTTTGTGTGCATGTTTGCGTTTCATTTGGTCTTATGATAGGAGTCTTAATTTTGTTGCATTGGAAAACCAATATGATAATTGCGAATGTGTTTCTTAAAGAAAAGAGGGTTTGGGTGACTGTACTTAGTATGAGTAAACAGTCATACATAAGTATAAGTACTTAGTAAACTGGAACACAGGAAGTTCCATCTGAGCGTGAGGAAAAACTTCTTCACTCTGAGGGTGACCGAGCGCTGGAACAGGCTGCCCAGAGAGGTTGTGGAGTCTCCTTCTCTGGAGATACTTGAAACCCACCTGGACATAATCCCAGGCAACCTGCTGTAGGTGATCTTGCTCAAGCAGGAGGGGTGGACTAGATGATCTTCAGAGGTCCCTTCCAACACCTACCAATCTGTCAATCTGTGAATATCTGTGCTATGGAACCTGTCAGAACAGTGGATTTTTAAAAAACAAACAAACAAACACACACACAAAAAACCCCAAACCAAAAACAAAACGCCACAGCAAATAAAAATGCAGCAACAATAAGAAACAAGATAGGAGAGTGGAGTGGTTTTTCTAGGGCCTTTCTCACAGCACGTCCCTGCTCCATGTAATAGAAAGGAAACTACAGAGCACATGAAACTCGTTTGAGCAAGCCCTGCTGCATGTGTGCAGAGGAAGTTGATACATGAGAGCTGGTACCCCATCATGTTTCTATCAGTAAAAAGCAGACTGTTTCCTGGCAGACATGAGGAGCTGCAAGGAAAAAAATAAATGATAGAAACAAGAAACAGGAGATTGAAGGTACAGAACAGTCAAAAGGAGAGAGTCTGGTGGAAGAACTCAGTGAACTTTCTGCATCAGGGAGATGCAGAAATCAGTGCTGAGGCTGAGTGACCTGAGAGCTTCCAAGGAACTACTATGGACCTGAGGTCTACTGAGATCCTGTGTTAGCCTTCCATCCACAGCTGGCCACGCAGTCCTGTTCAGTTCCTGGCACTGGGAATGGTCCTTATGTGGCTAGTGACAAACTACTTGAGCTAGGTGATCTGGCCAAGGTGGTTAAGGAAAAGGAGGAGTTGGGGGTACTGGTGGCTGAAAAGCTGGACATGAGCTGGCAATGTGCGCTTGCAGCCCAGAAAGCCAACCGTATCCTGGGCTGCATCAAAAGAGGTGTGACCAAGCAGGTCAAGGGAGGTGATTCTGCTCCTCTGCTCCGCTCTTGTGAGACCCCACCTGCAGTACTGCGTCCAGCTCTGGGGGCCCCAGTACAGGAGAGACATGAAGCTGTTGGAGTGAGTCTAGAGGAGGGCCACAGAGATGATCAGAGAGCTGGAGCACCTCTCCTATGAGGACAGGCTGAGAGAGTTGGGGTTGTTCAGCCTGGAGAAGAGAAGGCTCCGGAGAGATCTAATTGCAGCCTTTCAATACTTAAAGAGGGCTTATAAGAAAGATGAGGACAAACTTTTTAGTAGGGCCTGTTGTGATAGGACAAGGGGTAATGGATTTAAGCTAAAGGAGGGTAGATTCAGACTAGATATAAGGAAGAAGTTTTTTACGATGAGAGTAGTGAAATACTGGAACAGATTGCTCAGCGAGGTGGTAGATGCTCCATCCCCGGAAACATTCAAAGTCAGGTTGGACAGGGCTCTGAGCAACCTGATCTAGTTGACAATGTCCCTGATCATTGCAGGGGCGTTGGACTAGATGATCTTCAAAGGTCCCTTCTAACCTAATCTATTCTATGTTTCTATGATAAATTTTTGCAAGGGAGCTGGGAGGATGGCACTCTGCAGGCCTAACATGAATCATCACCTGCTTTGGTGGAAACACACCCTGAGGCTACAGATTGAGAGACCTATCAACTGTGTGGAAGCTGTTTTATGCCTCCTTTACTCAGGATTTGTCTCCAGAGTGAATAGAGATGCCTATTGTTCTGAGGGGTTGAAAGTGTATCTGGCCTTTGGCGGTCTCATCCTTCAGGTTTCACCTGAGTTGTGAGGTTGTTAACAACATAGGCACAGTAGTCACACAGCTTCATGTACGTTGGAGGGATCTGGCGAGATGATGTAGCTTTTTGTTTCCTCAGGTTCACGGTGATGTTAGGTTAGCACACACACCATCAGCTGTTTGTGTCTGCAGCCACAGCATGGTGTCTGCTAGGACTTTGGTAAGACCCATCTGCCTCTGTGGTCTCTCTTTGAAGACCTCGTGCTGCAATGGGCACCCTGGCTGAGATTTTCAAAGCAATTTAGGGACCTTAGTTAATCTTTTCCTGTCTGTTGAATTCTCAGTGCTTCCTTAGGCCAGTGAGAAACATGGACATTATCTTCTATTATTCATTTAAGGATGAAAAAAGAATTCTTTGAGCTTAGCACCATGGAGGTGCACTTGTAGAATCAGAGAGACCTGAGTGTCTGTGTGTTTAAAAAGTGTTGACGGCTATTTTTTTTTTGGACTCTATATTGTGTTGCACAACATTTGTGTATAAGAAATTCACATTAGCACAGTGCCGTTACTGACAGAAGAGAAATATTTATTTATAAGCCTGGACCTGATAAAAGACTCCCCCGCAAAAAAAAAAAAAAACCCACCAAAACCCAAAAAACTTCAACCCCCAAACAAGGGAAAAAAAAACCTAAAAACCTCCTCCAGCTGCTGGAGTCTCCAGCTGCTGGAGAAGCTGTGGACTTGCCTCAGCAGGTGGCAGCCTTTGCCTGGAGTCGGTCCTGGCAGGAGGAGATCCTGGGAACTGGAGATGCTGGGAATCTTGATGAGTTGCTAAAAAAGAAAAAAATAATTAAAAAAAAAAAACCAAACCAAAACAAAACAAAAAATATTTTCCTCTCCTGTTTTCTAAGATTCTGCTGCCCTGTTGAAGGCTGCACGATTAATAGCATTAGATCTGTTGTTCTGGCTGGGTTCTGTCCTGGGAATTTGTATTTTGTCTCCCTAGAATGGCTTGAGCAGTTTTGGTTGGTGATGATGTGCTTCTCTATGTCAGTGTGAAAGCTGTTCAGTGATATCAGTGTCCTAGGAACCTCCCTTATGGAAATATTTTGTAGAATTACATTAAAGCTGATCCTTTCCCTTGCAGTTTTCTATTAAATTTTTCACACCTTCAGTGTAAAATTTTGCAAGAGCATTAAAAATGATAATTTAGAATTAATTCTCTGAGATATTACTGTCTTTTCCATAGCCTCTTTTGGCTTCTTCCCTAATAAATTGTGATGCTTTTCCATAACTTACTCTGTGATATAAAAATGGCTGTGAAGTAGAAGGAACTGGCTTCCAGATAGCTTGGATCTGAACTGCAAAAATCATCAACTTGATTCTTGTTGTGGAGAGACCTTGAGCATATGAATCTCACACAGGTGATGGCCAGAGAATTATTTTCTGTACGTGGCTGGCTGGCTGAACACCTATTGAAAGGTTACCTTTAACATTGCTGGGCACTGTTAATGGTCTGCTATGATGCTTAGAGCAAAAAGATTTTAAAAATGCATTAAAATTTTAAACTTAACGTATTTTCCCACAAACCATTAGAAAATAAAATAAATATAAGTAAATGTAGCCCACAGACTATTAGAAATTAAAACAAATAACTGGCATTACAGTAAAGGAGTGGATTGCATAGGTGTGCAGGCAATTGCAGGGGGAGACCTATGCCTGAGACCCCCAGTCCTGCTCCCCTTACATCTGGTGCTAATTTTGTGCGGTTTATGTAAAACGTGAGTTTTATGAAGGCTAATTTTCAAGTTCTAATCTTTTTTAAAATGAGGCTGGTTTTCTGAGGGAAGGATTCTAGACATGAAAATACAATGTGTTTTTTGCATTTGTATGTGTGTATACAAACCCACGTATTTATTACTCAGGTATAGGTGGGCATAATTTTAAACATGATTGAGATCTACAGATTTAAAGATTTTATGAGCTTAGTGCATCAAAATAGAAGGAAATAGCAGCAGTAGAAAAAGATTACAAGCCTTTTTATTGTAATTTTGTCAATCCATGTCTCTAGGGCGGCTTGTTGGCAGCCAGGAGATGGAGAGGCCCCGTCATACTCTGTCAGTGAAGACTGCCTATATCTGAACGTCTTTGTTCCTGCCACCACTGTAAGTAGGAGACGAATTGATTTTTTTTTTTTTTTTTAACTGAGCACTGTCTGTTTTCAAAGTACTTCTAATTGACATGAATGACTGTTTTTCATGTGGTGTTCACAAAGCCCTGCGAGGTTAAATTAGGCACTCTGTTGTTTGTACTTGTGCAAGAGTATTCCCTGTAGGCTTTCAGCGAGGCGTGTGTGGGTAACTAGGAGGGTAGCAAATTAAAAAGCTAGAAATAAGAGAGAGACAAAGAGGGAAACAAAACACAAGAGGAAGATGGCAGCAAAGGAGGAGAAATTAAGGACAGAAATGGCAATGTCCCTGAAATGAGACTGTTTGTCCAGGAGATGATAATGCAGAACAGCACATCGCATCAACACTCACCACCAGCTGAGCAGCAGCAGATGAGTTTTTTTTCACCCTGATCTTTACTGTTCCCCTGTTGACATCTGTGGGAGCTGTTGAGGAATGAGGGTAGCAAGAAATGCTAGATTTGTGCCCAACCCGCAGAGCATAAAAATAGATGTTTTAAAGATGGCTGGGGCAATGGTACAATCTGAGAAATTGTCATTTGAAAGCTCTTGAATTTCTCATTCTAAACAGATATAAAATAAAGCTTCAAGTTAGAGCCAAGCTTAGATGATTGGCCAAACCCCTGGGGGGCTGGGGATAAAGATGCTGAATAACATGTGAATCCCATTGAAGAGTGGGCCCAGAGCACAGGAACAGGGATTTTCTTTCTACAGTACTGGTAATTTTCAGGAGGTGATGGTGATTATAGTAGAAATTTATGAGTCTGTCACACTGCATGTCTGGGAAGAGCTGGTCTAGCTATCTGACAGCAGCACACACAGTCCCTTGCAGGCCCTTTTAATCACAGAAAGACCAGCAGTCTGTTTTCTCCCTGCAGCACCAGACTGTCATTTTGCCTTGAGTGCAGTCATCGCTTATTGAAAAGGTCAGGTCACTGTCCCAGGCAGTTTGCCATCTCCACTTAAGTGCTGCTTTCAAGATAGCTTACTTGAAAGCATTGTATTTTCTACCATCTGATAGACTAAATAAGCTTGTGTTTTCTCCTTTGTGGTACTGAGAACTGAATCCCTCCTGTAGAGGTGTAAGGTAGAAGTAGAATCATAGAACGGTTTGGGTCGGAAGGGACAGCAAAGATCATCTAGTTCCAACCCCCCTGCCATGGGCAGGGACACCCTCCACTAGACCATGTTGCCCAAAGCCCCATCCAACCTGGCCTTGAACACTTCCAGGGAGGGGGCAGCCACAACTTCTTTGGGAACCCTGTTCTAGTGCCTCACCACCCTCACAGGGAAGAATTAGGTCTGATTAATGAAGAAGTAGGTCTAATCAAGTCGATCAGTTTCACATGTGTAAGTCTAGCCCAAGAGAGAACCAAAACTTCTGGTTTTGCAGAAGTAGCTAGGAGCAGAAGGCATGGCACTTTCCTGTTTCTTTTTGTAGCAAGTTCTATTTTTTACTCACATACAGAGAGCTATAGCTATGTATTTTCAGCCCATGGAAAGTTAAATTAACTAGTAAATACTAAATATAAAACCTCCTGGAGAGCAGTGAATGCAGAGGTCATTCAGGAGCATTTTGAGCCTGAACAAGAGCACGGTGTGGGGACCACTGCCTGCCACCAAAGGACTCTTTAAGTATCAAGCAGTGAAGAAGGTGAATGACTTCACCTCATTCTGCTTCCATAGCTACACATACATACCACATAGCCCTCCAAATAAAACTGGCACTTCTGAGAGACTTTTTTCCACCTATAACCTTCACTGCCTGTCACACTACCAAAGCAAAGCTGTGCTTCAGCTTGATTTGCAAAGGGTTCAAATGCAAGATCAAGAGTTGGAACTCTCCATTAAATAAGAATAGAAAGTATATCCTTTCTCCTCTTCTCCCATCCCCCGCACATGTTATTCACATCCTTATCACATCATCCCTGTTGCACTCAGAGCAATATTGTACAGTAGTAGAAGTACTTCAGGTTGCCTGGCTTGGTAGAGTTTAAATCTACCCCTGCCAAGAAGCTCATTAAGTGTTTTATAGAAGGATGGAGGAGATGGTTCTGAATATTATAAAGCCTTTCAGACTTCCAGCTGACTTGCAGCTTCCTGATGGATGCTGAACTTCTCTCTCCCTTGAGGGTTTGCACATGGGACCTAAGCCCCTACAGGCTTAGGTAGACCATGGTAGAGCTGCAGGGCTCCTCAGAAGACATCCCCCTGCTTGCTAAGCCAGCAGAAGCCATCTGACCATGTCCCAGATGGAAGTCTTTGCACAGATTTTACACCTCAAAGTGCAACTGTCTGCATTTTGTTGCTAAGTACAAAGCAAAACCCTGCACTGAGCAGTAGCCACGTGGTAGCCATGGCCTGTCTGCGAGGAATGTGCTGGCCCCTCTCTGCCCAGCATTGCCGCACGTGTGCCCCACTGCAGCCCAGAGTTTGCACCGGCAGTGCTGCATCTCAGCCTGGCACCAAGTGATGGTGGGTGAAGATACTGGCTCCAGCAGGCTTTAGTTAAGGTCTTGCATTTCTTCTGCCTTGCAGATTTAATTGTAGTGGTTGGTTGAATCTGATTGAGAACAAGGCTTGGGGAAAATTCACTTATATTCAAAATAAATTATCCAGCAGCTAATATATAGTAAAAAATTAATTGACTGCCAAATATAGATAGATAGATAGGTGATACGAAATATCTCATGTTGTGAAGCATAGCTCAATTATAGCATGAAAATAATTGTGCTAGGCTGTTAAAATGGCTAACAAGAAATGGGAAGGCAATTATGTTAAACAGATTTCATCCAAAAATACCCAAATCCATGAGCTCTGAGATTGAAATCCCCTGGGATTAAAACCTAAATTATTTTTCATGATAGTTTACCTTTACGTAGGAGAAGGATCTGCATTTGGTTGATGCAGACTAGAAATGGGAATGTTATGTCCAGACACTTGGCACTAGGCACAGCCCTGGTGCAAAATCTTCCCCTGAATTGCTCCATATCTGTTGCAGCAGGTTTTGTTTTGCCGTTTTTGTCTCCGTCTTTGCCTTTCTGAAGCTTTTCATCACTAGAGCATTGAGTAAAGTCGCTCAGCATAATGTAATACACAACTTACAGGTCAGCTGGAGGTCACAGCACTATGCAGGCTGTGGACACCTGGGAAATGCCTTGTTGGAACCTCAGGCTTCACCATGCTGAGCTAAGGGGATGAAACAGGCTCAGCATCATGTTCGATACTGTTTTAGCTGACATGGCTCGATGTGGTTGTGTTTTAGAATGAATTTCCATGTGAAAACAGATTCTTTCATTTTTTTCTTTGCCCTCATCTTTCTCTCTGTGCCGCATGTGGCGCAGAAATGGGAACTGGGGACAAGGCACTGTGAATTAGGCAATTTCTATTCAGGAGCAGAAGTTCCTGAGAGAGAGCAGCATGTTTCAGTGCTTGCAGTTTCTAGGGTTTTCTTGGTAACATTGTCGTGTTCACAAGAAGCCTCTGAAGTGATGCTCCAGATTGGTAAGTGATGAGTGCACACAATCATGACAAAGTAAGGGGGCTTTGCCTCCTATCCTGTAATTTTGCAGGAGGCTGCAACCATCGCTTCTCTGCTGCTTCTCCCACGTAGCCAGTCGCATTTTTGCTGGAGATATTGTTTGCCAGAGCAGATGGAACTGCTGTGTTTAGCTAAGCTCTATCCAGAAAATAACAGCAACAGAGCCCAATGCCCTCTAGCTGCAGGGAAAAACAAACCTCAGATGTACTTTGATGCTGCTACAGGGGCCACCAGCCCTTCTTTGAAAAACACCAGCAGTTGCCAAAGCAGGACACAGGATGTGGGTGGGTGAGCGTGACCTGCTGCTGAGCAGAGGAGAGAGGAACCTCCTTCAGTATAGTCCCAAAGTGGGAAATACGGGATGAAAGTGCTGAATGGAAAATTGAGGTTACACTCTGAAAAAACCCTTTTTAGCATTGGAGCAGGTTATTCCGCTTTTTGCAGCAGGAAGAAAAAAAAATAGCAAAAAACCTAAACAGAATCCCTCCATTCGTTTCACTGGTATTTCTTCTGTGTGTCATCTTGGCAGAGTTGTAATCTGCTGGTAAATGCTGAGGTCTCCTGGGGCAGTTCTGCTTTTGTGCTGCTCACGCAGCAGCAGCCTGGCTGGAGCCCTGCTGCGTGTGCAGATAGGGTCCAAACAGATGGGGTGCTGCTTTGGGAAAACGCCTCCATTTCTGAGTGAAATCAGGTGGCTCTGCAAGGAGTGCTAACATGGGCAGCAGCCCATCGTATCTCCTTCCCATCCCAGGAGTCCTGCTGGGCTATCTCGAAGCAGGCACTCTCTGTGCTTCATGAGAAGTGAGTCTGTCCCGTGCAGCAACAAAGTCCTCTCTGCAGGACCCCTTTATATATACAGTAGGAGAAAACCTCCACAGGGACTGAAGGAGCAATGAGGAGCTCTTGCCAAGTGAGATTTTTGAGACTAGGAAGCGTTTACGTGCTGAAAACTGGAGAGTAGGAAGCAGCCCTGCACAGCTATTGAGTTAGTCCTACTCAAGATGAAGCAACCCAACAGGCCTTTTCCTTCTCTTGTTTCCCAATTGTTTGAACTTTTTATGCGTGTTTGTGTAAAGGAGACATGTCGCAACAAAAATAAGCCCACTGCATTCTCAATGGCCAAGTCAGCAGGATGGGTCTGCCTTGACCTAGCCTGGTAGAGTTGTTGGCTGGTGGAACACGGTGCCAATAAATCTTCTTTATACTGGACATAGTGTCCTCTTTAATCTACATAACTCATTGTAGACAATTTAGCCCTAGAATTTCAGACAGATTGCCAGATATCCCCTCATTATGGTCACTGTTAAAGAGCTATGAATGGCTTAAATAATGCTACTGGGTAAGATGCTTGTGTTCTCATCAGTGGCCTATACAAGCAGTTGGCTACAGGAATATTAACCTGGTTGTTGTCATGGCAGGTCAAAAACATGCCAGTGTTGCTGTTCTTCCACAACGGAGGGAGTTACAATGCTGAGGTGGGAAAGACAACCATAGATGGATCATACCTAGCTGCCATCAGTAACATCATTGTCGTGACAGCAAACTACCGGGTTGGTGTTTTTGGCTTCCTTAGTACTGGTAAGTCATGGATTTCTAGAACAAACACAAGCATGAGCTAAATTGCACCCTGTAACATGTGTTGGGTTTGCGTGGCAAGGTTTT